CGGGGCTGTCTGTGGAGAGGAGGGCGGGGTGGGGGTGAATCCCTGGCCAGGCGGTGGGAGGAGAAGATGGAGGGGGTAGGGGATGAGTCTCTGGCCGGTTGGTGGGAGGAGAGGAATGGGAGGGGTGAGGGGGGTGGGAGTAGAGGAATGGGAGGGGTGAGTCCGGTGGGAGTAGAGGAATGGGAGGGGTGAGTCCGGTGGGAGTAGAGGAATGGGAGGGGTGAGTCCGGTGGGAGTAGAGGAATGGGAGGGGTGAGTCCGGTGGGAGTAGAGGAATGGGAGGGGTGAGTCCGGTGGGAGTAGAGGAATGGGAGGGGTGAGTCCGGTGGGAGTAGAGGAATGGGAGGGGTGAGTCCGGTGGGAGTAGAGGAATGGGAGGGGTGAGTCCGGTGGGAGTAGAGGAATGGGAGGGGTGAGTCCGGTGGGAGTAGAGGAATGGGAGGGGTGAGTCCCTGGCCCGGCGGTGGGAGGTGTTGAACAGTTGTGGGGGGCCTGGCGGGGAGCCTTGGCCAGGGGTGATCCCACTGTCAGGGAGAAGGATTGTGGGGGAGCATTTTACCCTGCCTCTCCGTGTGTTCATTCCCTGCAGTACCAGTCGCGGGGGCTGGTCAAGGCCCCTGGCAAAAGCTCCTTCACCATGTTCGTGGACCTGGGCATCTACCAGAGCGCGGGTGGCGGGGACAGCATTCCCATCACTGGTGAGCTGGCGCCGAGCAGCTGGGCGTGCTGGGGGCTCCTGAGGGAGTTTCCAAAGTGGGGGCATCGTGTGGCCTGGGGCCCTCAAGGGGCTGGGTACCCTGTGGCAGAGGTGAGCATTGCTCTGTGGCGGAGCAGTGCTGGGAACAGGGCACCAGGTGGTGGAGGGCATTGCCATGCAGCCGAGGAAGGCATTGCCATGCAGCAGAGGGGTGCTGTGGGGGGCCAGAGCACCATGCAGTGGAGGGCTGGGGGCAGCCGGCCACTGAACCCCATCTTCCCCCCAGCGCTGGTGGGGGCTGACCCCAGCCAGCTGGAGCAGCTGAAGCTGGAGGTGCGGAAGGGCTCAGTGGTGAACGTGAACCCTACCAACACGCGACCCCACAGCGACACCCCCGAGATCCGGAAGTACAAGAAGCGCTTCAACTCAGAGATCCTCTGTGCTGCTCTGTGGGGTGAGTGGGGCCCAGTGCAGTTGAGGGGGAGCTAAGAGGCATCTGGTTCCTGTCTGGAGGAGATGAGGCCCTAAACGGGGAGGCTCCGGGGGGGGCCCTCTCGCAGGGGGTCCCGGCAAGGGGGTGTGGTCTCAGGGGTGGCAGGGGAGGTCCTAAGATGTGGAAGGGAGGGGGGTCTCAGGCTGGCCGGGGCCCGCCACCTCTCACTCCTGCCCCCACCTAGGCGTGAACCTGTTGGTGGGCACGGAGAGCGGGCTGCTGCTGCTGGACCGCAGCGGGCAAGGCAAGGTCTACGGGCTGATCAGCCGGCGCCGCTTCCAGCAGATGGATGTGCTGGAGGGCCTCAACCTGTTAACCACCATCTCGGGTAAGGCCTGCCCCACGGCCTGCCCCACAGCCCTGCTCCCCCCACATCCTACAGTCCCCTGGGGCTCAACCTGCTCCCCTCTCTCTGGGCCTGCCCCATGCCACGCAGCGGGCAAGGCAAGGTCTACGGGCTGATCAGCCGGCGCCGCTTCCAGCAGATGGATGTGCTGGAGGGCCTCAACCTGTTAACCACCATCTCGGGTAAGGCCTGCCCCACGGCCTGCCCCACAGCCCTGCTCCCCCCACATCCTACAGTCCCCTGGGGCTCAACCTGCTCCCCTCTCTCTGGGCCTGCCCCATGCCACCCCC